AAGACCTAAGCTATGTTTCGTGTTTTAACATTTACTTTCAATACTATTTTTTAAACCATAAGACCCCTATTTTTGAGGTGTTTAATTTGATTTACTCCCATTTGGTTTAGTTAGTGAAAATTTTTGGTTTGGTTCTCTATTTCTCTTTTTCTTTTTAAATGAGTACTTGAGTCAAATATTTCTGAACTCCAGCATATCTGAGAATTTCATTCTATTGTCTTAGTACATGAGCAACATTGACTCTTCTTATAAAATTCTTTCATCAAGGCTCCTTCCCCCAGAATCAAAAGGTGTTGTAATACTGTCTCCTTGCATGCCGGGTTGCAGAGGAAAATATTTGCCAATCTGATTTTGTTGCTTTGTTTATTATCTACTGTTGATCTGTTTGCTTGCATCTATGTTTGTAGAATTTCTTTTTTCTTATTCTTCTAATTTCAGAGTTCTCCCACAATTTGATGGTCATGGGTGTCTTTTCACTACATTTACTTGGACCATGGTTGACTATTCATAGCTGCATATTTGGGTCTCTTGTTTAGGAAAATTTTCTTCAGTTATGTCTTTGTTACTTCCTGTCTATTCTTTGTTCTGGTTTCTTCTTTTGGAGCATCTCCAAGTCTGAGATTAAAATCTCTGTTCCCATTTCTCTGCTTTCCATATCAATCATATTCTTTTATTATTTTCCAGTCCTTTTCCTTCCCTTCTGTGTTCTAGGCAGGCTTCAGAAGTTTGTTCCATATCCTGCGCTTACAGTTTTGCTCTTTGCTTCCTGAACCTGATTTCGTTTCTGTTATTGCTCTCTTTTATTTCCACCTGATCCTGCCTTATCTCACTCAGTCCTCCATTTCCCCAGGTTATCATAGGTGCATTTCATTCTGTAGGCCTTTTGTAGTCAGGTTGCTAGGGACTAACTCTTCACCTACCTGCTTCACCTTTCTCCTGGATACCCATTAGATAACACTTCTCAGACCCTCTTGAGGTTAGGTATGTCCGTATGATCGAATCTTACCAATGAAATATGTGAAGAACTGATGCAAACCATGTCCAGACGTGGCCCATAAAAATCTCCCACATGCAACCTTCCATGCTATTTCCCATTCCATGGCAACCTTAAAAGCCATGTGGAGCCACATGGTAGAAAGAGCCTGGTTCCCTGAATTGCCAATTGGAGGAGAGCCATCTTCCAATCAGGAACATGTGTTTTGGACTTCACATTCTAGAGAAATAAACTTTTATGTTTTTGGTCCACTGAAATGAGAGGGGTTTATTTGTCATAGCAGTATGTGTTACTTTAACTAGTATTCATAGCCTGTTTGTTCATTACACTTTTTTTGCTTCTCTTTTGTAGGAGTCATATCTTTGACATCCTTTTGAAAATGGCCAGCTTTCTCTAATTTTCTCTGAATATTATCTGAGTCTTTGTATGATGTTCTTTTTCCTTTGTGTTGTCATATTATAAATTCCATGCTAATTTTGTCTCTTTACTCATTCTTTAAAATGTAATGATTTTTGCAAAATGGAGATTGTCAACAGACAGGCGGTGTGATTTCTACTTGGCTGTGCTAACTCTACACTTATTTTTGTGGAGGAATCTCTTTCTGGAATCCTTACCTACTGGAAAGTTTTCAGTTTCTGGTCAGCATCCATATGGAGCTGCTTTGATGCATCAAGGCTCGATTTTATACTCCTCCCATGGTTTGGTCCTTTAATACTGTGAACCAAAAAAGTACAGTAAAAACCACATCTCCAAGCGTGCACTGCTGCCAAGGTTTCCCTGTTTCTGCTCCAGCTCCAATGCTTCACCTCTGGGCAGGTAAATTATTCAGTTTTAAAAAGAAAGGGATTTCTGACACATGCTACAACATAGATGAACCTTGAAGATGTTATGCTAAGTCAAATTAGCCGGTTAAAAAAGGACAAATGCTGTATTATTTTGCATATATGAGATACATAGAGTAGTCAAATTCATAGATACAGGAAGAAGAGTGGTGGCTGCAGGGTGCTGGGGGCGGGAGAAATGGAGAGTTATTGTTTAACAAGTACAGAGTTTTAGTGTTGGAAGACAAAATAAATTCTGGAGACGGATAATGGTGATGGTTTCACAGCAATGTAGATGTACTAAATACCGTTGAAATGTACACTTAGAATGATTAAAGTGGCAAATTTTATGTCATGTATATTTTCCCATAATCTAAAAAATATAATAAAAAATAATTAAATTCTCTCTTTACTCTACCCCTTGAATTTTTATATCACTAGAATCACAGACTTTGAAATCCAGAGATATCTTAGAATTATGAGGCCTTGAGAGATGGACAAATTTGCGTAAGGCCAGCAAATAAGTCAGTAATAGAGACAGAACTACAAGCTATAAGTCTTGGTTGTATTTACCAGAATACCATATCTTAAGTATTAGGTGTCTCTTCTTTCCTGATTGCTGGTATGAAAGATTTGTTCTGGAAACTCCATTGTGACTTCTACTAGTCTCCTTCTTGAGACAGTTGGAAGTGTATGGCTAACATTATTTCTAGTAAGTCCAACAAACGTCTTGGGCTATTGGAAGCAATTAGATTTTTAGGAACGAGTGTATTTGGGGACATTTCTCAGGTTGACAGAAGGACTCAGGAGTTCATGTCATGTGGTTGGGTCCCTAGCATGGAGAGCCACAGGATCTGGAGTGGAGAGTGGAAAGGAGTTCAAAGAAAGCTTGTCATTGTCTTCCTGGCTTTGGAGCTTCCAAGTGAGCCTGGAAGGACCCCTCTGTGATGTTTTAAGACTAATTAAATTGTACTTACGCAAAGAAGAGGAATGGCCAAAATTACAGATGACTGTCTGGAAAAGACTTTTCCCAGACTAAAGAAATGGAACAACTCACTGATAGAGAATTTAATGAATTACAGCTTGGAAGAAACCAAACAAAGATGAGTTTACACTAATTTGCCACACACAAAACATTCTTCAAATATACAGGGGATAATGACTAAGCCCTGAGTAAGGGACTTAACTGGGTTGTATGTACACCACAGCTTTGGAAAAAGAGACTGCTAGCATTCCTTAGGCCGCTCCGGAATTCAAGACTAAAATACCTAGCTCCTCCAATGGTTGAGTATAACTTGTGCAACCACTGAGCTGCCAGTTTCCTCTGGTTATGAATTGTTACAGATGTAACTGTCATGTCACTGAGAAATTGTAACAGCTTGGTCACGTCAACTGAGGAAATATGGATTCAAAGAATTTGCTCTTTACAGTATTTTTCAGATAAACGGTTGTGTGGTCAGTGAAGGGATTACATCTGGCGTGTCTGAAAATAAAAGCCATTTCAAAAGCAGTATTAAATAGAAGGACTTCAAATAGCATGTGTGGGGATAGGTTATTTTATTCCCAAGGAGGCATGGACAGCTTTGGACACTTCAGCTACCACAGCAGCTGATGACAATGAAAAGTAAGAAAGCTGATCATTTTAACATGATCTTCTGCAAGGGTCTGACAAATACCATCTCATGTGTTCATGTTCCAGTAATTCTTCTTTTCTTAACGTCCACAATACTGTGTGTTCTAAGTGGAAAAAGGGATAGTGTTGTGAGTTGAAAACTTTCTCTTGGTTTGAAAAATCAAATGAGACAAATGAAACATTCAAGTTGTTTTCAAAGCAAGAGGATTTCTTTTCACACTTAGAGGCTGACAGGAATGTTTTCTTCAACTTTGTATCTAAGCAAAACAAAACCTACTTTTCTGCTTCATTTCAGATCTTCCTGGCAAAGATTTCCTCCTGACATGGGTCTGGTACAGGCTTGTAGTTTCCTCCTGGGTTATACTTTAGCAGAGCAGTATTCTAAATACAGTTCCCACATGCATAATCAGTTTAGTGGACATTTGGTCCTGTCTAAAACATCCACGGAGACTTTCGGTCTTTGCCAAAGTGTCCCTGAAATTTAGTCCTGTCAAAAATGTCCATGAGCATGTTTGGTCCTTGCCAAATGGTCCTTGATATTCGGTGCTGTCAAAAACATCAGCATGTAGAAAATGTCCCTGGGTTCAAATAACCCATAACATATATTTATACTTTTGGTTTACGGGATTAATATATATAAATACTATCATGTTTTGTTGATCTAATAATTGTGTTGTGGCTGTATTGCCAATAATAATCTTTCTTGCCTTGGTAGTCAAGCTGATAATAGCACAGGGGTTAGCTAGATAGGTCAGGGTTCAAATCTTACAGAAAAGTGGGACTTATATTAACTATGCATACTGAGGAAGAGTCCTACAGTTAGAGAAAGGCATGGAGGATTACAAGTTCAGGATGGGAATCTCTCAATGCATGATGTGTTAGTATGTCACTGGGAATTTGGTTGGATGTGACTGGGTCATTCAATAAGGGTGAAGTTTGAAAGGAGGAGCTTGGTCAAGCAAAATTTTAAGATGGGCCTTGAACTCATTGACGTAAACACTTTACAGAGCGTCTCACTTGTTCTGGAGGAGTGAGAATGGGGTGTGGCTCTCCTGCCACATGGTGGTGGGGTGCAATTGCCGTCATGAAGGGGATACGGGCATCTAATTAATCCTCCTACAACTATCCCATCACCCAGGGTTAATGGGTGATGTTTCCCTTGAATCGATGTCCTCTGTATGATAGCAGTAGACAATGAAAAGTGTCTACTGCTATTTGGAGAGGTTTTAGCGAGTGTGACTCCTACACTTACCTGCCAATCAGCATGGACCACCACGTCCTCAGCTGGTGCCTACCAATTGCCCAATCCAGCCCAGCCAAACCAGGTGTAGAATCCATAAGACGTTAGTAAGTTTCCCCCTACCGGTAAACCAATGACCATTGGTCAGACGGCTACAGAAGAAAAAAATATAACCCTTCTTCTGTTCCATGACAATGCGACACTTTTATTTGAAAATTTCCAGTGGAATATGGCAGAAATAGTATACTCACAAAAAGAAAAGCCAATACTACAGTATAACAGTTTTCGTTATCATTTCCATTCCTTTAACAGAGATGGGGTGTAAGGTGCTGGCACTGTGAAGAGAGGAGAATCTGTAATGCTGGATGTACAACTAGTCAGGATTTGGATAACATTACAATCATTCAAAATGGTACGGAAAAACATCAGCACAAGGTTGGTGTTGAAGGGGAAGTAAGGAAAACCCTGAATAGGCTAAAACGACACACAAAAGTGCCAAATGCAACGTCATTGCAGGTACTGCAAAGAACTCTCCATGATATGATGAAGAGGTCCTGCTAAGGCTACCAGAAAGAGACTCATTCAAAAGGCAAGTGAATAGAATTCAAAACAGACTTCAACCTCCAAATCCAACTTCGTTGCATGGAATTTAAATTTCAGAGGAGTATAAAGTGACCAGATGCGGAGAATCATTTCTTACGCACAAGTCTGATGCTCAAGATGAAGGAAGAATTCTTATTTGTACAATTTATGAAAATATTCAATATTTAAATACCAGTGCCACATTATTCAGTGATGGTACCTTCGAGACAGCACCAACACAGTTCACTCAGTTATTTACTGTCCATGGTGTAGTATTGGATTATACTATGCCATTGATTTATGCACTAACAATGAAAAGGCAAGAAGACATTTACAGATATGTATATGAGAAAGTACTTGCATTTGCACAGAAAAGAAATCTGAACATTAACCCTTCATTGTGCATGGTGCATTTCGAGATCTCAAATATGAAGGTGATTTGACTACCCCTACCAAATGCATGAGTAAAAAGATGCTTGTTTTACTTTCCACGATCACTGTGGTAAAAAATATCTTTGGTCTGACATGTGAGTATATGACAATGGAAAGGAGCACCCATAAGTGTGCATTCATGTTGTTTGGACTTCCATTTGTGTCTTTGGAAGATAAGTACACTGTGGAGAATGCAGAAGAAAATTTAGATAACCTAATGGATTATGTTGAAAGAGTGTATGCCTGGGGAAGGTGTGCCAGAGGCAGAGGAAGACCAGAAGTTCCAAGATTTTCACCAGAAACTTGGAATGAAAGACAAAGACTTCATTTTGCCTCCTTGGCTGGTCACAATCATTTCTAAAAACCAGAGTTTAGCTTCATTTATTTCTCTATTGTTTTTCTGTTTCCCTCTGATCTTCCCTTTATTACTTACTTCCTTCTGTTTAATGTGGGCTTAAATTTGCTTTTCTTCTAGCTTATTAAGGTGAAAGCTATCCTTGATTTGAGAGCTTCTTTTCTAGTATAATCATGTATGCTATACATTTTCCCCTTAACATTGCTTTAGCTGCCTCCTATCATTTAGCTGTTTTATTTTAATTTTCTTTGAGTTCAAACTGTTTTTAAATTTCCTGTGGAATGTCTTCTCGTTTTTTTTGAGGAAGATTAGCCCTGAGCTAACATCTGCTGCCCATCTTCCTCTTTTTGCTGAGGAAGCCTGGCCCTGAGCTAATATCCATGCCCGTCTTCCTCTACTTTATACGTGGGACGCCTACCACAGCATGGCTTTTGCCAAGCAGTGCCATGTCCACACCCGGCATCTGAACCGGAGATCCCCGGGCTGCTGAGAAGTGGAATGTGCGAACTTAACTGCTGTGCCACTGGGCCAGCCCCTCGAATGTCTTCTTGACCCTTGGGTTATTTAGAGGCATGTTTTTAAAATTTCCAAAGTTTTGGGGTATTTTTCAAATATCTTTCTGTTTTTAACTTCTAGTTTAGTTATGTTGTGGTCAGAGAACAGACTTTATAAGACTCTTGGTTTTTAAAATTTATTGAGACTTTTTAATGGCCCAGAATATACTCTATTTTGTAAATGTTTTGTGTGCACCTGAAAAAAAAATGTGTATTCTACTGTTGTTGGGGAGAGTATTCTATAAATATCAATTAGGTCAAGTTGGTTGATTGTGTTGTTCATGTTTTCTATATTCTATTGATATTCCGTCTAATTGTTCTATCTATGTTACTGAAAGAAAAATTTTGAAATCTTTTAACTGCAATCTTGTATTGTCTATTTCTCTTTTTAGATTTATCAATATTTGCTTCATGTATTTTAAAATTTAAAATATATTTGTATATGTATTAGGCACACAAACGTTTAGAATTATTGTCCTCTAGGTGAATTGGTCCCATGCTGATTATGAAGTGTCCTTTTTCATTCCTGGTAACATTCCCTGTTCTAAAATCTGCTTCATCTGGAACTAATATAAGCCATTCCAACTTTACTATGCTTAGTGTTTGCATGGTATATTTTATTCCATTCTCTTATTTTTAACTTGTTTTTGTCTTCATATTTAAATTGGCTTTCTTGTAGACAGCATAAAATTGGATGGTTCTTTTAAATTCACTCTGACAATCTCTGACTTATAAATGGAGCATTTAGCCACTTACATAGGGTTTAAATCTACGATCTTGTTATTTGTTTCCTATTTGTCCCATCTGTTCTTTGATACTTTATTCCCATTTTCTGCCTTCATTTAAATTAAATACTTTGATAATTCCATTTTATCTTCTTTATTGGTTTATTGGCTCTATCTCTTAGTTTTATTTTTCTTAGTGGTTGTTTCAATGTTTAGAGTACTCAACTTTGACTTAGTCTACTTTCACATAATAATGTTATACCACTCCACATGTAATATCAGAATCTTACTATAGTACACTTTCATTTTCCTCCTCCTGACCTTTTTGCTATCACAGTGATCCATTTTACTTCTTTATGTTCATCCATTTTTACTTCTACATGTTCTAAAATCCAAAATACATTATTATTTTTGCTTTAAATGATCTTTTAAAGAGATTTATAAATGAGAAAAACAATTTTAAAAGGATTTTACATTTACCCACATGTTTACCATTTCCAGCATTCTTTATTCTTTTCTGTAGATTTTAGTTTCCATCTGTTATCATTTTATTTCTGCCTGAGCACTTTCTTTAATATTTGTTTTTGTGCACGTCTGATGGCAATGAATTCTGTCAGCTTTTTGTTTCTTTCCTTCTTTTCTTTTGGTCTGAAAATACCTTTATTGTGCCTTCATTTTTGCAAGATATATTTGCTAACTATAGCATTCTTCAGTTCTTCAAAGATGTTATACTATTGTGTTCTGCTTGCGTACTTCTTGACAAAACATCCGCTGTCATTTATGTCTTTGTTCTTTTGTGCATATGTTTCCTCCCCCATGGCTGATTTTAAGATTTTTTTCTTTATCACTGGTTTTCATTAATTTTGTGTGATGTACAGTTGTTTGGTTTCCTTTATCTTTCTTTTGCTTTGACTTTATTAAGCTTCTTGGATATTTGGGTTAATAGGTTTTATCAAATTTGGAAAAATTTCAGGAGTTGTTTCTTTAAATGTTTTCTCCCTTCCATATCTGAGATGCCAACTGCACATATGCTAGACCACTTGATATTGTTTCACAGGTCACTGACGCTTCATTCTTGCGGGGAGGGAAGGGAGATGAAGTGTCTTTTTTAGTTTTTTTTGCCTCTCTTCGTTTTGAATAGTTTATATTCCTATGTTTTGGATTCAGTGATCTTTTCTTCTGCCTGTATAAACTGTTGTTAATCACATCCAATATAGTTCTTCAACTTCCAATATTGCTTTTTTCATTTCATCTACTTCCTTTTAGGTCTTCTTTATATCTTCCGTTTCTCTCTTCATCATTTTAATATTTTCCTCTACTTCTTGAATACATGTAACGTATTTATAATATTCATAATAGCTGCTTTAAAGTGTTTGTAATTTCATCACTTTCACAGTATATGGGTCTGTTTCTGTTGATTGATTTTTCTCTTGATTATGGGGTAAATATTTTCCTGATTCTTGCAGGCTGGTAATTTTTTAGTGGATGTTGGATATTGTGATTCTTTTCATTGTTGGACTCTGTTTTTTTAAATTTTCTTTTAAAGAGTATTGGTTTTGTTCTGATATACCATTAAGTTGCTTGAAACCAGTTTGATCCTTCTAAGGCTTTCTTAGGTCCAGAGACACATCATGTCTCAAGCTAATTGAGGACTCTATTCAGCTTCCTGTGTATTATGAAATCTTTTTACTCTGACTGGTGGGAATATGAACTATTTACAACCCTGTTTGAGCTCTACAATTGATCAGCCTACAGCTTTACTGTAGCATTTTCCTTGGCTTTGGGTAGTTTCTTCTTTCGTATTTACAGATCTGTAATTAGCCAAAGACTCAAGGGTATTTTTCTGTAGATCTTTGGAGCTTTTACTCTGTGAAGGTTTCTTCTCTCCAGTACTCTTTTCTACAAATTGTAGATATCTTGGCCTTCTTTAACTCTAGTCTCAAACTTAGGAAGACTGCCAGGCTGCATTTAGGTTCCCCTACTCTGCACTGAGGCCTGGAAATTTCTAGGCAGCAAATTAGAGCAATTGTAGAGTTTTCTTCATGTGTTTCCCTTCTCTCAGGGGTCACAGTCCTGTGCCATCTGTTTTCCAATGTTTTAAAACCATTGTTTCATATGTAGCTCTCTTATGGCTAGCAACAGGAGTCTCCAGTGGGCACAGTCTGATTCTACTAAAATTTGTCATGTCATTCTCAACTTTTATTTCTCATTTGATTTTTTATATTCAGAAGCCAGTACAGAATAGTGAGAAAGAATCAGGCCATGGAAACAGACAATCCAGGCCTACATCATAGCCCTATTTAAATGTGCATTAATTTAATTATTTAATTTACTCATAACTTTATTCTTTTACTGTTATAATATTTATTGAATGTCTATTTTGTACTAAGCACTGTGCTATATTCTTAGTTTGTCACCTATAGGAGAGGGAGAAATAACACCTCCCTCATTGCAATAGATTGCAAAAATGGCCACAAATTCTTCCACCTGTTTTCATGATCTTGCAGTCTATCTTTCCACGAGGCAGAGCCTTTTCCTTTACCCATTAAATCTGAGTTGGCTTTGTGACTCACTTTAGTCTATGTACTGTGGTGGAAATGATACGTGTGAGTTCTGAACCTGGACCTTAAGAGACTCTGCAGATTTCTACCCTCTTTCTTGAAACCTTGTGCCTGCCAAGTGGATAGGCCTGAGCCAACATGCTGAAGAATGAGAGACTAAATGGAAAGAAGCGTAAGTTATCCCAACCATGCTAGTTAAGGTCATTGTAAACCAGTTAGCCCCAGCCTACTCACCAGCCTATTATGTATCAGGCATTGTGCTATAGTCTAGCTTCAGTTTATCACTTTAAGTGAGCCCAGCTAAGAGGTACTGATCCAGGTTCAGCCCAGAAGAAATGCCTACTTGATCCCAGTCTAAATTGTCAACCTGCAGAATTGAGAGTTAAATCAATGCCTGTTGTTTTAAGTCACTACACCTATTGTTTTAGGGTAGTTTGTGATGCAGAAAATGCCAACAGATCCATCTTTTGTGGTGGAGATTAAAAAGTAATATGCATAAAGATACTAGCACAGTGTCTGATATGTAGTGGGCACTTGCTAAGTGTTTAGAATTGCTATTTTTAACATATTTGTCATTATCAGGGATTAGCATGTCAGATTGGTAGATAGAAATTATTTGAGACCTGTGAATGCTTCCCTAATTCTGAATTCTTTATGTGTAGCTTCAACTGTACAGTTGAGATATATATATACACACACACACATAGATGTATACTCATCACATACGCATACACTCACATCTATACACGTATGTTAACTCTTGAATAAACAAAAACACTGATATGATAATTTAGTATATTGTTACACAACCTGGTTAAAAAATAAGGTTGTCAATGTAAATATGATATAGTCACATGTGAATAAAATTCTTTTTCAAAAGTTTTGAACAGGGCACAGCCTCGTGGCCAAGCGGTTCAAGTTCCACTCACCCTGCTTCAGCCGCCCAGAGTCATGCATTCAGATCCCAGGCGTGGACCTACTCTGCTTACCAGTCATGCTATGGAGGTGTCCCACATCCAAAAAAATAGAGGAAGATTGACACAGATGTTAGCTCAGGGCCTATCATCCTCAAGCAAAAATAAAGAAGGGGCCAGGCCAGTGGTGCAGCAGTTAAGTTCACATGTTCCTCTTCAGCTGCCCTGGGTTTGCCTGTTCAGATCCAGGGTGCAGACCTATGCAACACTTGGCAAGCCATGCTGTGGCAGGTGTCCCACATATAAAGTAGAGGAAGATGAGCACGGATGTTAGCTCAGGGCCAGTCTTACTCAGGCAAAAGAGGAGGATTGGTGGGCAGGTCTTAGCTCAGGGCTAATCTTCAAGAAAGAAAGAAAGAAGGAAGGAAAGAAAGGAAGGAAGGAAGGGAGGGAGGGAAGAAAGAAAGAAAGAAAGAAAGAAAGAAAGAAAGAGAGAGAGA